CCCTCCAAGACAGAAATAGAGTTACTATAAAAATATGAAGGTTACGAAAGAATTCAATGCAAACGCCTCCCATCTACCCTGACCCTACCGATCCAATTACCTTTTTAGACAACTTCGTGAAATCCCACTCCCCTGCTGGCATGCTCATCCGGGAGCATATGTCGGGTCAGGTTCGCAACAACCGCGTTTCTGGGTTCCTCATTGAGGTCTCTTTGTCGCATGGCCTCGTACTCATTGCCCTTTCTCGCCAGACAGTCTGTAGCACACGCTCCCGGTCAGTTCCCCGGTTAATCCATCGAGCAAGTGAATGTACAGGGCTGGGGAAAGCAGAAAAGAAAAGAAAAGAAGCCCCCCGTGGGGTCCGTTGGTTGACCCGTGGAACAAACAACCAAAACGAAATGGACTCATCAATCAGAACCTACCAGCAAACATCTCACCCCCCATAAGACTCCATAAGCTGTCCCTCCCACGCGTGGCATTCTGAAGCGCCGCCCTGGCACTTTTCTCGGCCTGCTCGCTAACCACGCCCGAAAAGAACCTGTGGCACATGAAGCTAAGCAGGATGAATGTTAACTGCTGATTCGTCGTTTGCGTAGCGAGCTGCAAGGCGAGGCTTAGGTAATTCTTTGTCTTGACCAGCTCGCCTCGCTCCGTGGCCTTGACGGCCATGTATGCCGCCTTCATGAGGTAGTTTTTCGTCGACGCGCAGGGCTTCTCCACCGCATTCATAAGGTGCTCCGCTGCGCGGGAGTCGCGCGGCCGAAGAATTATGATGGAATTCAGTTTGGAGATTATTGATATCTCGGAATCCGGGGATTGGACAGTCGTGTAGACCAGTTTGTAGAGCTCGAGGGCCTGATCCAGTTGGTTCGTCCCATGGGATATCACGGCTTGTAGGTAGGTGATCAGTGTTGGCAGGAGAGACCTCTGGGGTGGTAGCACCGAGAAGGCTTGCTGGAGGTTGTTGAATCCCTAGCGAGAAGCGCAGTCAGTATTGCCGGGGTATGGGCTCGCTCGGGATCAAAAGGGGCAATCACCTTAATGGCGCCGTCCCAATCTGTTCTCACGCAGAGGAGGAAAGTGTGGTAGAGCATAACATGGCACTTCAGTGTTTGCCTCCATGTGGACTTGTTCATAGCTCCCACAAGCGAGGTCATGCTAGTGTGGTCTTCCTTCAATAGACCTGTGAAGCCGTCAGAACCCAGGAACGGCAGTTGGGGGAGAAAGGATGGGGGGGAGAAGGAAAAAGCAAATATTCATGTGTCTCGGCTCACGTTCTATAGACCTAAGACCTTCCTGCAGATATTTCTCCCCACGCCCCACTTCCTCGACATTTTTCTGGAACTTGCAGAGACCACTTATAAAGTATCCCAACACGAAAATGTCCTCTTTGGTCAGCCACTTGAACCTCAGTCTTTCCTCGGGTCTCCCGAGCCGCACGGGATTGATTAATATTTCAAATTCCCCGCTGGGTGTCCAAATCTGGGCCTTCGAACTATGGTCGAGCATCCCATGCAGCACCTTGACCTTCACCTCGCTTTCGCTATAGCGCCCAGCCATGAGTGAGCACATGATATCCAACATTTGCCGCAAGATGCCCAATTGCTCCATCCCCTGCAAGCTTTCCAGCTGTAAGGAATTCGCTCTTGCCAGTGCACGATTAGCCGCTTCAATCCCGTCGGCTCCGGAAGAAGCCGAAATCATTGTCTCCATCAAACTCGCGAGTAGATATATCCCGTGGTCACGGCGTGCGGCTGCAGTACTTGATATCTTTTGGAGAGTGGTCATCGCACCCTGCTCATCATGGAGCGGGGAATCCTCCATTAGGATATTGCAGCGCAGGAATCGGAATGAATAGGTCCAGTGGACCATGTCGAGACTATGGCGGGTGCAGCGTCAGTTGGGCGTCGGTGAAGATATTAGGGTAACCACATACGTTTCCGAGTCAGCGATACAGGAATTGAGCATTTTCAGGGAAGCCTTGGGCGTGGTTCGTAGCATAATGCGCGCGAGAAGATGTTGCATGGTGTACTTGATATCGGTAAAGTTTCCCTGCGAGCGCATCAGCTTCCTGTCGCTCAGGTTGGTTGGAAGAATCATTACCCTTTGCGCTAGCATAATCTGCGGGGGGGAAAGTGGGGGGAAAAATTAGTCGCTGAATCCCACCGTACGATGCAGACAAAGCCAACATACTCCTTTATTTAAAGCGTCTTCGGCTTCATCCCCATTCTCCGTCTCCTCGTGCAATATCCCAGCGTATCGTAGCCTGACCATAGCTTCTAATCTTGGTTGAAGTCGGCACTATCCGCCGTCAGCCGTGATGTTTCCCTCCACCCCATTTCCCCGCCACAAACTCCTACCTGCAAGGCCGCCTCCAGGGCCCTCAACCCCGTAGCAACCAATTTATAATAAGCCTTCGCATCCCCACCTCCCCTTGCCAAAGCCGCTTTGTACCCGCTCGCATGCGCTGCCTCGAAGTAACCCTCGGCCATGGAAATCAGGGTCAAGGGAGGATCCATCGAGCTAGACGGTGTGCTGGGAGTATTGGGGGTATTGCTATTTGAGTGACTACTGGGCCAGCGATTAACCGGGATAGTGATCTCAAAGTTGCTGTAGCGGTTTGTCGGCGGCGGTGGCGGCTGAAGTCGTGTCGGGGTTGAGGAGGATTGCTGAGGGCGGCCCGGTACGATCGGGGTTGCTGGGGGGTTAGGGCTCGAGCCATAGCCGTTGCTATTATTGCTGTTGCTGTAGGATGGCCCGGGGCCGCTGTTATACCATCCGCCGCCGTTGGGAGTTGTCATGGCGAGGGCATAAAATGTTGCGGGTGAGGCGGTGAGGAAGCTGGGGAGGGCTGGGATAGAGCGCGACAGGTCGGGTTAGGGTTGGGGATGGGAAGAGCTTAACTCAACTTTCGATTGGGAAAGAGAGGTTACCCGGCGGTTGCCATGTGCTTAGCAAATACCGGTATTATGAGAGGAAGATGACCATACGGTATCATACCAGTTATCGAGTACCGCACTGTAGTCTACCGGCATGATAGGGGAGGGGAAACGATGGGAGAGAGCTCGAGGACTTGGCACCGGAACGGCGAAGACTCCCGGCAAGGACGGAATGGTGCCATTGAGCGGGGAGCTGGCCTTCGGGATGATGATGAATGCCTCGAGTCGAAAACCACTGTCCCATGAAAGAGGTGCGCATATACCGATATAACGTGCAAACACTGCTGGATTCGTTCAATCGGAAGCAACGCGGAGAACGGACAACCAATGCTATGGGGCTGGACCTGGCCAGCGCTGCTTGCGCTCAGGTCTCAGAGGCCATAATGAGTTTTACCGCACCCGAAGCCCAACGCAGGAGCCGGCGCTTACCTCTCTGCTGGGGATGCGCGGGGGTCCTTGGACTGACAGGTGGACAATCCAGCACCAAACCCCCCCCACCGCATCACAACTCCCTCTCAAGCATTACCGGCATACCGGTACCGTACTATAGGAAAGCATTCCGAGCGCTCAAGACCACACCGGTATCATGTGGAAAAAGCCCCCGGGAGGTTAACTGCGGTGCTCCCGCATCAACCCCCGCCATCCGTCGACCCTTCATCGGAATCCAGGTCTTGTACGAGCTTGGCAGCAAAACAGGCTCCACGGGTTTCCCCCACAAAATGTCAATTCTCGACAGGCCTGCTCACCACCATAGCCTCGGAGAAAATCCAGTGATTTTCTACTCGTAGATAGCACGATACGGCACGAAGGTTCGCACAACTGGGGGCCGGGTCATAGAAACCATGATAAAAAATCCCGGGCACCCAAGTTCCGGAGACAACGCCGAAAAACATTGTCAAGACTGGCAATCTGCGTGGGATCCCCAGATGGAGCCATTCCTACCAACTTCATTCGATCGCCATGCCGGCATCCGGATGTGCAGGATGCAGCAGACCGGGTTCGCTCATCCCGGAATCTACTCGAGTATTCGTACGGTATGATACAGGTATCGTACAGGATGCAACCACTGAATCACATGAGTTCCGCCGTACCCACATTGGCCCTGAAGTGAGAAGAGGGCCCGGGTGAGAACTGCACGATAGTCTACCAGTGCCAGTCCCGGTACCGGTGCTTTGCCGTGTCCAATAGAATCCTGAAGGATCGAGCCCAAGTTACCGCTGGGAATATGTGCAATTCAATTCCCATGATAGTACCGCTATCTGTGGCATCCATGCGTGTAAAAAGACTATGAACAGAGCGGAAGAAGGTTAATATTAATACCGGCTGACAAAAACCTCAGCCTATCCGCCCATGTATTCCGCCTGTCTGATTGACCGCGGCAATATTTGGGGTGCGGGATGAACAGGATGCCGAGGATGTAAAGAGCATCGATCCCATATTGAGATGCGAGGCCAATGCATCAGATGTAAAATTATTATTACTATTGCCGATGAAGGCATTTGTACCCAGACATATGGGACCCAAAGGGTGAGCTTAGTGGGCGCATCCCGTCGAGACACAGATGTTATTCGTTGGATATTTCCTTGTGTGCTTGTGTATGGTACAGTACGTACTATATATATATTCGCTGATGCAGTTGGCCAGTTTTCCGATCCGTCACCCAACGCCCTGCTCTCCCCCACGGGGGCCAGGAGTTGTTGCTCGATATGCACAACCTTTCGGGAAACTCTCTCTAACCTTTAATGCGATACCGAGGTCTAGGTTTTGGCATGGCAAGTGCTTCGACGGCTCCCCCGATCTACGATATACCGGTATGTATGGGTGGTTGCTCCGCCTCAAGACTTAAATTGCGTCTGCAATTCCCCTTACTACGGTAGAATACCCGTATCTTCTCTCCTTGCCCTTACCCCTCTCCATGATTGTATTGTGTTGGCTGATGCTTTCTACCCACCGTTCCACAGTTCCCTCCTTGCTCGTAATGTACTCGAGTATAGTACAGCATCTTACACCTGCTTCACCCCCGCATCCAATAACTTATCCCGCTTCCGCATTTCAACTCGCTTCCCGATTGGGTTCGCTAGCACTGCCGGTACCGGTACGGTAGGCAGGACCCCATACGGTACAAACGAGCTCTCCCCGCGCCCCCTTTGCCTGTCGGGAAACACGGAGAGAACAGGATACCGTACTGCCACCACCACCCAACCGTCACAGTTCCAACGCTCACGATACAATAGCCTCCAGCAATGCCCTTCTGGCCCGCCCACCCGACCTCCCACCACTCCCGCAGCCCCATAACCCTGAAAACCGGGACCAAAACCCTCCCATTCTCCGCCTTCGCAGCCCCCCTCCTAACCCCTTTTCGGGCAAACCCCCTCCTCTTTAACGGCCACTTGCAAACCTTCTGGACGGCCGTGAAATGGAACGATCCGCACACAATCCACTATGCCCGGCAGCGCCTGCAAAACCCTGCCGACGGCGGGCACTTTACTGTGGACTTTGTCGTGCCCGAGCCATTCCCCCCCGCTCCCTCCTCGACAGAGGCGGTGACGGGAGGAAGGCTACCGCCGCGAACGAGGGATATGACGGAGGAAGAAGGAGCAAGGCTAGGCTCTGACGACGACACGCCGATGGTCATAGCACTGCACGGGTTATCTGGTGGAAGCCATGAGCTGTACCTTCGGTCTGTGATAGCGCCCTTGACGAGGAAGGTTGAAGAGGGCGGGAGTGGATTCGCTGCCTGTGTGCTGAATGCCAGGGGATGCGCACTCTCGGAGGTTACCACGGGGCAATTGTTCAACGCCAGGTTTACCGCGGACCTTAGGCAGATGGTGAGGTATTTACAAGAGGTGTATCCGAGACGGCCGCTGTATGCCGTAGGGTTTTCATATGGGGCTAATATCTTGACCAATGTGGGTTTGCGATTCCCCGGGGAGAAAGTGGGAAGAGTCCCGGCTAATGATGGGGATGGGAGCAGTACATTGGCGAAGAGGGTGACAAGTGTGCTTTCAAAGCTGTAGCGCTATGCTCTAGCCCTTGGAATCTGGAAGTTGCGAGTAAGGCTCTACATAGGACTTACTTGGGGTCTGAAGTCTACTCCAAAGTTATGGGAGGGTGGGCATTTCCCAACCTCCCCCCCACTTATATAAACCCCAATTGCTCAGAATTTTTCTAGAAACATGAGAAACCTCTTTGAAATCCACATTGACAACTTTTCCGAGGACCCCCGGATAGACGTTGATCTTGTCCGTCGCGGGAAATACCTCTACGAGTTTGATCGGTATGCCCACCACTTCCCTGCCAATCGTTGATGCATACTGGGACTAACATTTCCATCACAGTGACTTCACTGCGCAGATATTCGGTTACGCTACTGTCGGCGCATACTACAGGGACGCGTCCTCGGTGGATAACCTTCTAAAAACCCGCGTGCCGACGTTTATATTACACGCAAAGGATGATCCTGTGTGTCCTACCCCAACACTACTGGAAGATATCATCTAACCTTACCAGGTTGCGGTGGACGAAGGTGTCCCATATGACGAGGTTAGGGCCAATCCGTATTGTTTCATGGCCACCACTCCCACTGGGGGTCACTTGTCATGGTTTGAGTATGGAGGTGGTAGATGGTTTGCTAGAACGGCATGTCTAATACTCCTATTATCTCTCAGCATGACACTAACATCATTTCAGGTCGTGGATTTCTTCACAGCATTCGCGAGAGAAGTGGTAGAAGTTAACCCCGTGGACGAAACACTAAAACAGTAGACCAAAACTCGTTCGTTCAGTGCACATATATACATAGAGAGAGAGAGAGAGTAATTGACATGTCAATAGAGCAAAGATACCAAACGCCTTTTTAATTTCCCATTTTTGAAAACAAGAAAGAAGCCACGTCGTGCAATGATATATCACAAGAGCCTCCCCTGAATCCCATACCAGTAGCATATATTAAAAGGCAAGATGGGAATCAGGCGAAAGCGACCATCTTCCTCCCTTTAGACGCCATCTCCGACGAACTTCTCGGTGCTTCGGGGGCAGCCCCGGCAGACTTGCGCTTGCGCTTCTTCCTCACAGCATCCTTCGCACCCTCCTATCATCCCATCAGCCCAATTCCTCCATCTGACTGAGAGTAGAAGAGAACTTACCATCCGACTACTCCTCTCTGCCTCCCGCTTCTCCTCCTCCTTCCTCTTCTCCTCGCGAATAGCCTCCAACTGCCTCTGTGAACCCCCGCGCGCGCGCGCTAAATCAGCATCCCTTCCCCCCAACGCAACAGGAAAGAGGACAACTAACCGCCCTCTCCAACTTTGATCTCTCCCGCCCCTCAACCCCATCACTAACCCTGTTCAGAATACCCATCAACTTCTCTCGATCCTCGACGAAGACCTTCCCCTTCTTCCTCCCCTTCGGCTTGACCACGCCAGCCGGGGTAATCATATTCAGCTTCGGCAATTCCTTCTCTAGTCTAGCGAGGAGCGCTTCGCGCTGCTTTTTGGGTTCCTTGGGTTTTTTATTGCTGCTCTTCTTGCTGATGGCGACGCCGGTGGTTGTATGCGTTTTGGGGACAAACTTCTTTTTAGGCTGCTTTGGGGGAGCGGATTTTGACGATGGGGTGGTGGCGGTTGCGGTGGGTTGACGGGGGCGGGGGGGTTTGGGAGCCATCGGTAGTGGTGGGAGAGATAAATCTTTGGTGGTAGTAGTGTTGCTGCTGGTGGTTGATGATTGATGTCGGATGCTGGAAGCTAGAGCGAAGAATTAGTAGGAAATCCGTGGCGCCACCTGATCCTAGCCGGGTGGTACAGAAAGTTTGTAACCCCGGTCGTGTTGCAATAGGCGAATTCATCTGGCATGGCTGGCTGCAAGGAGAACCGGCTGGCTGGGCTCCATTCATGATACAAGTATCACACCATTGACAGGATCCGCAAGTGACAGGCCTCCTACCATATAGGAACCCGAAATGTGTGCCGCCGTATTCACTAAATTATAGTTTTCTCCCAGAATTTCGCTTCTTCTTCTTCTCCCTCCGTGATGCAGGCCATCATACCACGAGGGCACTCCGAAGGGGGAAAAAAAAAAATTGGAGACTCGGAAAACGAATGTTTGGAAGAAGCGTCAATGTATCAATCGCAAGTGAGCGAAAAACCAAAATCAAGCCACCCCTTCAACACCCATGCTATACAGCCGCCATCAAAAGGGTCACACTCAAGGAAAGAATACGTACAGTACAGAGGGGACCAGAACAATCTGAACACGTTCAACGTGAAGAAAAAGAAAAAGAAAAGAAAAAAGTCAAAGAGAATCCTGAAACGATTAGAATGCTCGAGGGGAAATTTCGGGTAGGGTAGTCTCCTGTCCCACCCTTCCAACCACCACCAATACAGTCCACAAACAAACACTGAGTGACATCTAATGATCACTCCATTCCGCCCACAGGCGCACGTTATGAGGAGGGGGGAGGTGGGAGGGGAGAGCCCAACCAGCATCACATCATACGACCCCAATTTTTCTCCAGTCGGAGCACTACACAATATCCCCCCACCCCCCCCGCAAATCCCATACTGCGCCGCTATGGCGAGATATCACCACCACCACGGCATTAATAGGAGGATTTTCCTCAGCATTCCACTTGCACCCCTCCATCCCCGCCCTATCATATGCCATCCCAGGTTAGGACTGCACCCTTCCCTTCTTCTTCTTCTTCTTCTTCTTCTTCTCGTTCCTACAATACGATACCATAATTTCCTCCGAGACACTCATCCCATGCAAGTATTCCCGGACTAGGACTGTCCCAGCATGTCCTCCCTCCCTTCCTTCCTTCCTTCCACCCGCACTGTTGGTGTGGAGGATGGACGGACGGACAGCCCGGCTCTGTTTCGTACATTTGATACCTCGGGCTCGCCATATCTTGTGGGAAAGGGTGAATGGATAGAGTGCTGCGCCGTGCGGTGGTTCACTGTCGTCCCACCGGGCGGGCATCTTGTCGAGAGATCTGCACCTCTCCCTTCCCAGTTTGTCGTCCCCACTTCTGCTGCGGGCTATCGCAGATTTCCATCATATTGGATTGGAGTGGGGGGAACCGAGTGATGGGGGGTGAATGGGCATCCTGCTGTGGCGCGCGGTCCAGAGATGCCGTGCCGGGCAAGTCGCTTTCAATAGCCCCTGCACGGGCCTTAAAATGATAGTACAATGTGATCTCTTAACACAAATCATCATTCGAGTGGGAGTCAACTTAAAAAATTAAAATAAAATAAAAATAAAATAATAAAAAAAGAGTTTTAGGGGGAGCAGGAACGAGATATCCAGCAGACTCGAAGAACGTACAAGATATATTATACCAAACATAGAAACGTATGGCTCCACTAGTAGAATAAACACACCATTTGTACACAACAGCCAAATACTACCATACTCTAATGTACGCGACATTTCTCCGGCTACGATGCTATACGGTACTTAACATTCCAAGGCCAAATTGTCTTATTCCAAGACGCTCCCCCACTACTCGAGTACGTCGCTCCCACTTCCACACCTACACACCCTATCTGTCAACACTAACAATACCAAGTTTAAATTACACCAACACTACACTCTAACTCTCGCCGGCCAAACAGATACGCACAAATTAACCAACAGAAAACCGGAAAAAGAAGGAATCCCAACACCATTCAACAGCAGAATCGGTGATATAAGACTACCCCCCCCCCCCTTCCACCAATTTATCGTAGAAAAATCTATCCAAAAAATCCCTGCATTTGCGTTACAGGAGGTTTCATAGCTTGCGACCCATACTAGTACAGAAAAAAGAGAGGAAAGACTCCCAGGTGAAGCAAAAGAAAGAAAGGAAACAAAAATCATTACGACATTACTGGTTCAAGGGACGTAGGCGCCCCTGGTATCGGTATGAGGAATTGGGATCCTTTTCGCTCTGTTATTATAACTCTCGGGGAGAATCTTAAAGAGTCAGTTTTAATACACATGAGCAAGTGGTATGGGCACCTACTTCAACAATTTCGTTTCTGGGAAACTTCAGAGTAGGGATGTCAGAGGTCGAGCAGGCCATCAGATACCCGTACAAAACTCTCAAGACACTCTCGTGAGCGATGATCAAGAGGTCATTCTTCTCCCTCTCGAGTTCGAGAATGATAGGTTCCATTCTCACGGCAAGATCATGGTAGCTCTATAATCTCAATTAGCAATTAGCCGGTGCATCAACATGCAGCATGTTCCCACATACCTCGCCTCTCGGGAACCTATGGTGATAAGGGTCAAGCTGATGCTTATCCCAATCGGTGGGGTAATGCGTCTTGATCTCTTCCTCCGTCATCTCTGAATTCCCAGGATTCAATTGACTCATTTGGGGTCTCTGCTTAACCTTAAAGCCACGCTCCTGAAGGTGGGCGGCAGTCTGGACTGTCTTACGTCTAGTGCTAGTCCATACAGTCAAAGGTTTCAATTCCTCATCACTTCCGCCCTGCCTAATAAACTCTTCTCTCTCCTTCTTGCGATGCTCCAAAAGGGCATTGCACAAGCGTTTGGAGTAACTCTCCCCTTCATCACAAAGCAAGCCATCAGCTTTATAAGAGTCCTCCTCAGTGGAAGCACCAGAACGAGCAAAGTAAGTCTGGCGAGATTTGATATGAAGATTCATCAAATAAAATACGATACGATTGGGTAGATACCCGAAACGACAGTTATTGACAATGATACGTTCGCCAGCATTAATCATCTAATATCACTCGCTATTAACAGTTTATATACACTATATTAAATCAGGGACCACCCACCTTTATGTAATTGAGCTCGTGTTCATCCATAGTTTCAAAGTGGGGGATTTTAGCCCCCATCCGACGAATATAATCCTGGACCGCATCATTTGGATTCCATCCTTGATACTAAACAATCTATCAGCAGCCAGCCTCCTATCGTATACACGTCAACCGATAGCTTACATCGGGCGAAGAAATCTTGACACTCCTGACATTCTGCTCGATAATCTTTGGATCGTCCACATAGGACTCGATGAATATAGTCTGCAAGCACAGGGAGCTCAGCAAACTTTCACAATTAACCAGGTAGAATGTGAACCATGTACCTGAATATCATGCTTCAAAAATTCCTTTGAAAGCTGTTTACGGCCCTCGGCGGTAGGATTGACCGCATCGTAAATGGCGACTTGGCCCATTTCATGATTCAGGAAATAGTAGAGGTCGAATCTACATTTCTGAAGGATAGTTTGTCGTAACTTCACAGAAGATGGAGATGCTATAGGCCCGCAGGAGTTAGTACAGTGCGCTATTAATCTATTTTCGGCCTCGGCAGTTGATAAACGAGTGTAAGGGAATATGGAGCGGATGCCCCATGCAGCGAGCTTAGTGCAGGAAAAAAAAAAAAAAAAAAAAAAAGTAGACGACATCTGACATAGCCCAAGTTGGAGACCGGCCAACCTTGGCGAAGGGACAACAAATTGAGGATCAGGGATCCTGCAGATTAAGGGGAGCCTCACCGTTGACGAAGAAGTAGTCATGTGGGACATCGTTCCCTGGGCCCATGTGCGCACGGCGATAGTCGCCCAGATGGAAAGCATGGGTCTTCACGCCCAACCTGTATGCAGACCATTTGAGCACAGTACATATATCAAGCGACCGGAGATGCAAGTCAGGAGCAGCCCGAGAGAGAATTATCGGACTTACCAGCGCAGATACCTGGAGAGAGCGACAGAAACGTGCCTAAATATCCCCGACCACCGGAATCAGTTTCCCCGAAAGTTTGTTTCTTTGGGCAGCAGGGAAAGCGGAAGAGCTGCGTGAATCAATTGATTCATCCATTTTCCCGAACAGAAAAACGTACGTTTTGCCTCTGGCAGGTAACCCAACAGTCACGATTGCGATCTTTCCCGAGTGGAACAACCTACCAGACTCTGTGGAATACAGCTGAGCCGGGGCCATCTCACTATCGACGGGAAAGTCATGAATGGCATCAATGTTGACATTGGATCTCCGACGGAGACGAGGGACGGGAACGCCATCGGTGCTATACTCGTAATCAGCATGGAAGCCATACCAATCCACCGCAGTTTGTGCCATGATAAGAATGAAGTAGAGGTTCGAAGTGACAATGCAGTAGCAGGAGAGCTACAAAGGGATGTATGGAGGGAGGGGGAAAAAAAGGGGGGGGGGGATGTGGCTGATTCCGGGAAACAATGGTGGAATGTGAAGGGTCTGAGCAGATTAAGAGAGAAGGGTATCTCGGAACGGGACGCGAGGGGGTAGGAGGCGAAGCGGAGAATAAAGATATCAGGGGGAGGGGGATAATTACCGTAGAGTATCCATGATAACGGTTACTTTTTATTATTATCACTTATTTATCTCGCTTGGTGAGATGGACGAATAACGCTGTGTCCCTGAGACACGCGGGGGGAAGAGAGGTTGTATGAAGAGGGAGTGTTGGGGGGGGGGAGGACGAAGCGGACAGGCCTGCGGGAGGCTCGCGATAATGACGAGAAAGAGTGACAGACGGGAACCCCGCGATAAAGGAACGAGGATGCAGGTTCAACGCCAAAGCACTCGAGCACAGTGCTTTGTGGGCAATCCCGTTGCTATAGGTTACGATCAGCGATATGATATGATACGATCCCGATTATGGTACCCCGCCCTTGATGCCGCCACTGCTGGTCAGGTCTTATCAAGACCCCTCGTATCAGATGGAGCAACTCAATTGACAAAACTATTATAAATTCCAGGTGAAGAAGGACAAAGATTGAAAAGGGCTCAGATGGAAGAGAAAAGGAAAAGAGGAGAAGAGAGAGAAACTCACCACTTCGGATGAATCGGAATTCAATGGAATAGTCAACCGGTCAGCACCTGCTATCCCTTTTCTACAGGACTGAGGCAAGTGATATTACCGTACAGTACCGTCCTCGTACTGCGCACCACGAGTACTCGTACCGGTAATTGGGAGGGAGAGAGAGAAAGAGTTCTCGGCCTTATGATACGAGTACCATCCGGTTGCCCGCACCACTACACAACCGAAACGGGGCTGGCTGCTGGTTAGCCCCAACGATGGACAGTCTTGGCAACGCTGGGGAAACGAGTGAATGATGAACTCTGATAAAGCTAATTACTCCCACCACTTTTCGCACCGCACAATAGCCGGGAGAAATATCACTTCGCTGAAGAGGTGAAGAAGACAAGGGAGGAAATGGGATCTCGTCAACTTCTTTGGCTTGTGTGCCGAATTCTTATATCGCAAGGTCTGCCGTGTCACCACCGTACAGTACCGGTACTCGAGTACACTTCCAAGCATTCCAGAAACGGTGGCAGGTATCCCCGAAAAACTTACACGATACCGGTATGACGCCCCCCCCCCCCATTTTTTTCACCCGGGTTCGCGGGTTTCGTATATTTAGAGATTACGATCACCCATACGCCTTAGACTTCTACCGTAGGCCAATGGCAAAAGAGATGTGGAATCCTAACCCCCGTTGGAGATTGGTTTCCTTGCCCCCCATCATCTCCAGACGTCCTTTACCTGAAGACCATTTGGTCCAATGACTTAGCACCGGTAGTTATGATAAGGTTTACTGTGGTAGGGGAGGAGGGACAGCCTGTTGGTGACGTGAAACGTTAAATTTGAAACCTCTGAGCCACGGTGGCAACAGTGGCACACTCACTTGCCGTGGGGACATATCCTATTAAAAGGAGAGCGCGTTAATACTGTAGGATACATACCGGTATACTGTACTACCGGTACAGTAATCTAGTTAGTCCAGTGGTCCATGCTCACGCCTCTGCAAGCTGTGGATTCCCGAGTCATTTGAGTTCTCAGGCGAGCCCTCGAGCATATAGCCAGTAGCACAAAACGAAGATCCGGCGAACCGATACGCCTAAAACATATAAAGGCCCGCCGTACTACCGTTACTCGTTGAGCCTCCCCGATGCAAACAATTTAAACCTTTTAGCACCGTGCTAAACTATCATCCGCACCCATGATCAAAAAGCCCATTGCNAACCCCCCCCCCCCCCCCGGTACGTGCATTCAATCACTTGCCTCGAAGCACTTTATGTCCTTCAACTGCATCCTCTCACCTGAGGCTGCCTTGTGCACCGCGTGACCGTGAATCCGGACGGATAGGCACCCGCTCATGCCAATCCCGGGAGGTAAATACTTTAGACAAACGAAGGGCTACTGCCTAGCGAACTACCTATACCATCATGTGCACATCAAAGCAGCAAGGTGCACGAGTGAGAATCTGTGAGGTACTCTGTGGCCACAAGGCCAGGTTCTTCGCACGTAGCCTTGTGTGGCTAGAGAGAGAAATGCGAAATACCCTTCGCGCATTGTTCGGCTGCTCCAGTAGAAGCGCAAACCTTACCAACCAACCCCCCACATCCAACTACCTGGTGGGGTCCCTCGCCTGGCCCCCATTCCGAAATAATTCTTAGCCTCAAGGGAGGCAAAAGGAAGGAAAAAGTCACTGGGGCACCACCGTACCGGTACTGTTGCCAACAACATAACCCTGCCGGGATAGTGGTAACAGTTGTCATGTGCCTTTGGTGATATTACAATAGCCCTTCGCTACACCCAAAGCGTTGCTGAAAGGCAATGGATGAAGCGGGTAGAAGCAGGTGCTCGACTGGGTATGTTAGCCTTCATCTGTTGACGGAAGCTATAAGCGCTGCACAAGCTTGGTTGGTGAGGATTGGCCGGAGGTCTCGGACTTACACACGGGTTCGTCCGTTGGCTGAGGAATAAAAAATAAACATAAGAATTAAAAAAATAAAAATAAAAATAAAAATAAAAATAAAAGTGACAACGGTCCCGCCAAGGGTTCAGGGCAGAGATTCTCGGTGTTTAGGGGATGGGCGGATGTTGGAAACAAGAGAAATTCCAACGGCGGGGTGTGTGGATCGCGTTAAGGCTCCGTTTGTCTGGTTCTCGGGTTGGGACTGTTGCTTTTTCCTACCAGGTCCTGGATATGTCTCAGTCCACTACCGGTTATACCCTTGTTTGTCTATTCTCCAAAGGACCGGTTGTCCCTTCCTCTTGTGGAGGACGATTGTGGTCACTGTGGTTGGATTCTTGTTGGATTGACGTCTTTTTCAGCGCGAGAACCTACGGCACTCGAGTAGAGGGGACTCACTCTTAGGGTCGTTGGGAACTCGCCAATTCCTAGAAATGGCCAAATCAGCAAATCGCATCGATTTTGACATTCCACTCGAGCGAGTCAGGTCGCGAACCTCTCGACACCCGAGTCGAGCGGGGCACCGCAACGATGATGGCGACAATGGCTATGACGATGGCCATGAATGAGAAGGAAGCAGCTGGCCCAAGGCCCAAGGCTTACGAGTCCAGTGAAAAGTGAGGCGATCCCGCGCTCGAGCACTACCAGTCATACAGAGATGATGTGATAACACATACCCAATTGAATCTGTGATAACCTGAAGATAACTCACAAACCACAAGTCACAATGGAGGCGTGGAAAAAAAAAAAAAGGGCAAAACAAAAGACACAAAAAACACAAGGAAGAGAGGAGAAGAAAGCCTGCCAGAAATGATCGTAAGATAAAATCGGAGGTTTTGGCCGCTTTACGGTCTTTCACTCCCGCTTTCTCTACCGAGTTTGATGGAAAGCCACCGACGTTAGTTCATACCGTTACTCGGACGCTGATAGGCTCGAGCCTGAAACGGCCCCCAACAATCGGATCTGGCAGCTGCAATGTCAGATCTTCCTCCAGAATCGCTGGAGTCCCCGGATTTGGCAAGTCTATTTTATCACCTGTTGTGAGTACACCTCTGCTGTAACGGGTAGCCTGTCCACCGGCTGAGGGTCTCGCTATGTATGTTTTCTTCTACACTTCGTTGGTACGAGTAGTTTAACCTACGGTACTAAAAAAAAAAAATCAGTTGTTCGCTCAAGTAATGTTTAGGAAAGGAAAAAAATGGGGGGGTAAAAATAAAAAAAAAATATAGCCACTACTCTCACCCGCCCGGATACCATCCAGCAACTTTATGGGTTAGACCTTATCCCAATCCACCCATCCGTCATCCACTAGGTAGATCTCCCACCCCCCCTTCGAGCCTTGCAGAACGGCACGGCGGCAGCGGACCCGCCTGGATCCGCAGCCCTTCCTCTCACTCCAGAGACAATCAGAGCACATGATACGATCTAATTTTCCCGGAGAGTTGAACTATCTTCAGCGCTTCTCCAATACCGTTAGTGTGATGCAGTAAACGATTCCAACACCATCGCCAGCCCAAACGAGCAGGGCTTTGAGTGGGGGTGTAAGGAGGGAAGCTCTAAGTTACCTTTCTTCCTGCACCGCTCTCACAGGTTACCTCTCTCTCCCTCCCTCTCTCTCAGGGCAAAGATGGGAGATAAAAGCCATGTAGGAGTAAGGGATTTCTAACAATTTGGTTGGACCCTTTTGCTTTTTTGATTATCTTTTTTTTTCTTCCCCGGTACGAACGTCATGCCTCCAGCACACCTTACCATAGCCGGACGATAACAGCCCTAGGCATGCAGAAGGGCATGGAATGGGGAAGGAGAAATTCCCTCATTCTGAGGGTCGTGTACCGTACAGTAAGAGTACATCCTTCCAACGAATGCGCATGGCGTTCGATTGGGCGAGAAGTAAGAGATATTATCCCGAGGGGTTTCCACGGAGGGTACCCTATGGGACGTGTGCCGTATGTAAGTTATGCACGTATTGGTGCGCCCCACCGGACGGCACCCAAGTCCGGGCGCCCCCCTCTGCTCCCTCGATTGCCCTTATCCGCGGGAAAGCGAAAAATGGAAAGGAGTAAAATGGGAAAAGTTACAATAAAAGGGGGGGGGGAAGGGAAAAAAACGTTGAGCAAGTCCCCGCTCAAGTAAGCCGTAAATTAACCCTTTCCACTGAATTCCGGTGGTGCACCCACCAAAATAACCAGTTGCGCCATCAGTACGACAAATTACCTTACGAATTGCACAACCTCCGGGACCCTTCTCGCCCTCTCCTTCTCGGAGTAGGCTCATGGGCGAGTGACCCGACCCGGCCGGGCCAGAAATTGATTAATTGGATAGGGTAGCTAGACTCGGACCTTTTCGATCTTGTGATACGTGATCGCGGGAGCGGGACTGGCCTAGGCCCCAAATTCTGCGCTGGTGGTTGATCTGCATGCACATTTTTTAGCTCTTTGACCTTTTAACCTTTGGCTCAGGGAACAGTATTATGGCAGCAGCATCACCAGTAGGAAAAGAAGAAAAGAAAAAAAGGGAGAGTCGGCTGAGCACCCACAGACAGACTAATCATTTATCGCACATTGGCTAAGTCATTGTACATGTTGGGCTGTGAGGTTGAAGACAGTTTCCAGCGAATCTCCCAGCCGCGGGTCGAGCCCGGCTCCTCCTCCTCAAGCTTGCCGTGAACTCATTCACGCATCATCAAGGTTTCGGAGGCATTCATCATATATCACTCTGTTTTATTCTTGCCAAGCCCTGGTAGTGGTAGTGGTGGTGGTGGTGGTGGTGGTGGTGGTGGTGGTGGTGGTGGTGGTGGTGGGAGATGGAGGTCGCGAAACCGTGGGCGGCCTTGTCATCATGGCAAGCATGGTGCGGTAGTTTTGTCCCTCGGATCCGGAAACAGGGCCTGGGATTCTCGACAGTTATTTAGGTAGCCAATTGGATGATTGGCGACAGCCCACAGCAGGGGGATGGGGCGCATTTGGCTTCGTGCAAGGTTTGCCGCCCCATTCCACCCACCTCTTCCCCGATTATCCTCAGCTCAGCTCTCCCTGGTCAAGTGATCCGGACGCGGCGCTATGACCACTCGGCCGGGCAAATTGTGGCATTCGTCGAAACACCGGTATCATGAAGGGGAGGAAGAGGGAAAGTACTCGTACCGGAAATTCACTTTCTGAATTCCGCAACGCCAAGCGAGAGGACCCAATCAACAAAAGCAATAATATCGGCAATGAGGGATACTTACGGTACGACACGATTCCCCCCCCCCCCCCATCGTCATCTTCAAAGCTATCGGTAGTTTACCTGGTTTTATTGTTGTCATGATAATACCCACTCTTCGAGTTATTGCAAGTAACATAGTCAAGAAGGAAGCTTGATCCGGCTTTTACATATTTTGCCCCATTGCGGTTGTTGTTGTGGTTGTTGTTGATGTTATAGTTATTGTTGTTGTGAGTTAGCTGTTGGATAACATCGTCATTGTTAAGATTTGACCGGCGCCCTCATTATATCATCGATAAGGCCTATCATACCCTTCTTCCCACAATGGCGCATCGTACCGTACCGTACCGTACCCGGATAGTTTGCCGCACCGGATCACGAAAGAGGCCTTCTGCACATGGCCCGGTCCACGGCATTGCACCGAAGACAAACAACAACAACAACAACAACGGCAACGGACAGATGGACGGACGGACGGACATACGGAGGGAATCCATTCTATCATAGTGGCGGCGGCGGGCCGATCCGAATCTCCCATTTTCCTGGCTGCCAGGCGGACGGAGGTACGGTAGTCTACTCTCGGATGGGCGTGAGAAGGAGAAGAGAAGAAAAAAAGGCGAGCGATGATTGGCTATGATATTACGGTGTTATTATGACACAAGGGAAACTAAGCTTCATAAAAACATTACCGGTATCATGCGTTCCAACCAAACAAGCCCTCCACACGAGATGTGTGGCTTGGAAGGAAACGAATATGAATGGTAAACAGGGACGGAGGAGCAGAGGGGGGAAAGGGGGAGGGAGGAGGAGGATCAATCCACTTGACTGCTGATTCATAGTTCCTCCTTCATAGAACTCAGCTTGATCATCATCAATTCACCCACCCATCTAGAGCGGTACCGGTACCGGAAGCCGGCACCCCGATACCGTGAAAAAAATAAAATGGAATGGAATGAAATGAAATAAAGACATCTCCGTCCGCCAGTAGGTTTCAGGACGACGACAGGCCCACTAACTGGGACCGTGCTTCTTACAGAAGTTTTCCCTCATGCCCGAGCTCTCCTTTCCTAGTGATACAGCGAACCTGCGATCTTCAGGAATAAACGCCTGGTCCCCGACCCGAAACAGTGTTTCTCCTCTTTCGTTATTCCTCGCTCTTCGTATTTATTTATTCACTTACTCTATTATATAATGCAATACCATTTTTTGCTGTGAGGAGGAGGAGGAGGGGGAGAGGAGGGGAAGGGAGTGCAGGGGGGGAGGGGAATTATGCCTACCGTATGGTACTTGCAGTCGGTCAGCTAGCCAGTCAGTCAGTCGGCGCCATGATAAGTAATAGCACAGTATCATACCTTAGCCAGCCAGAGGGGAAGCATTGGATGGAGGAGGATTGGGGGACTGACTGAGTGCACTATGTTTCACATCATTACTCGAGTAGATGCGGATTCTTCTGCTTCTGGCTGGCGGTTACCATACAAACTGCTCTGGCGGACGCGGCATGTGCGAACCACCACCCACATACCGGTATATCACTCTTTTAATGTCTTGTATTTTCTTCTTTCCCTTTTCCCTCTCACTCGTCCGCGCATATTGTACTGTACAAGTAGGTACTGCACGGCCTCGACCACCGCCGCCCCGTGCGGGATTGGCTTTCTCCCTGCACAATCAGCGGTCGAGGTTAATCGAAGCGATGTCAGTGAAGTTTCAACCTGACCGGTGTGTCCTGCGAACGGAGGAGCTTCTTCCTGGGTATTCCTCGTTTTTCTTCTCATTCCTTCGGTGGATGTGATGATTGTGGATTATATCGAGGGCTATGATAGGGTTGAGTTGGCGGTTTTCTAGACCACTTCTTCTCCTGCTGTACTCGAGTACTGATGTTCCCCGACCCCTGTTACGCGGTATCACCTTCGGTACCGATATCATAAGTAAGATGTTGTTTTTCTTTTTTTTCTTCCTTTCTTTCCTTTCTTTCCTTTTTTCCCATTTTCTTTTTTTTCCAAAACAGAAACAGAAACAGAAAACACTGTTTCTCATTTCTTCTGCTTCAGCCCTGGAGGGGAGGGGGGGGGGGGGAGTAGGAGGGTCTTCGCTGCAAACAACAGAACACGGTTCGTCTCAATTTTCTCATTCGTCTATTCGTTCATTTCCTCATCTTCGGTATGGTACACACACACCCGAGTGCCGTATCCCACCGGTAGCCCTGAGAAGGGTGGAGTAGTGGGATGCAAGGGAGGGATGGGTAGTCTCGGGGAAGTTGATAACGTTACGGTAATTCGAAAGATTGATTCACGAAGGTTATTCCGGCCTCCGCACTATTTTTTTTCTTTCCTTCTTTCTTTTTCTTTCTTTCTTTCTCTCTCTTTCTTTTTTTTTGTGCGGGATCAAAATCAGAATCTTGATGCAGCACTCGTACCGTACCGTAGAATAGAGAAGCAAGCAAGCAAAGCAAAGCAACCAGGCAGGCAGGCACCTCACCACAACACGCGAGAAGCCCCTCTCCCCCACCCACCCACCACCTCCATTGAAGGATTGGGCAATTGAGACAGCTCTGCTGCAGTCTCATTGGTCACCTGCTTGGGCAGGTGATCATGATCACCCACTTCGCAATCTAGCATCCTCTCCGTGTACGGTACCTATTACGGTACCTACTCGAGCGCAGGTATCGTACGAAGTGTCGGCGGAAAAATTATGTCTGGCACTGTACGGTACATGTACAAGTACGAATACAAGTACGAATACAGCACCCCCAGTCTACTTACACTTACACCGCCGGCACCGTGGTGGACCGGGGTACAAGTATAGTGGCATGAGTACTCGAGTAAATAGTAAAAAAAGGAATGAAGGTTAACTTACTGTGCTCGAGTACGGTTCAAATTCGAATGGGTATCATAGTCAAGACACGCTTGGTGCAGATCATGCATGCTCCAAGCTCCGACATAAACACCCTTTTCCTTCCTTTTCCGTTCGGGTACTGTACTACTAGTACACACGGATTTACCTCATTAAAATCTACGTCTTTTTCTTTTTCTTTTTTTCCTTTTCTCTCCCCCTCTCCCTTGCTCTCATTCCTTTGGGAATCACCCTTTTCGAGCTGAATTGAATCTTGTTGCTACGGCACCGGTATGGTACCTGTGCGGTGGGTTATCATACGCTGCTCACGAGCTTGAGCGGGACGGGACGGAGGTGGTGGAGCGGGTTCAGGAAGGAAGGAAGGAATGGGTGGTAAGTGTCTCAATTCCCCAATTAGCACTTAACGCCGCCGCATAAAAGCTCCTACGGTGGTAAAGTTTCTTTTATATGGCTTCTCTCGTCTTCCTTATGATCACCACTATGGCATCCTCATTCTCAACTTTTGCATTCTGGTGTAGAAATCCATGGTACTTTTGTTGGTGGCGTTTTTTTCCCTTTTCTTTTTTCCTTCTCTTTCTGTATCGCGAGATTTTAGTGCATACTGTACGTCCGTACGGTGCCGCTACGGCTGCAAGATTTCTCATGGTCCCTTGAACGAGAGAGGGAGAGATAAAAAAAATGAAATAAAAATCTATCCGAGCTATTGTATTTGGAAACTCGAGCTTCCGGCGTGCTTGGTCTCGGGTTACACTTTAGGGATCCAGTGGATGGGCACACTAGCACACCTTCTCGGCATTCCTGTGATGGCCCCGTTGTTTTGCCCACGGTGATTCGTTGTTTATATCTCGTGGGACGATATTCCCCAGAGGATTTGAAGAGAGAGGTGTCCTCACCGAGTAGGATTCGGTACGATAGGCTCCTCCCCACCCCACCTTGGCACTACCGGAAACGGGCACTGCTTCGACCTACACGGGAAGCAACCGCGATTAGCGAACGGGAAAGAGTGCCTTGAGTAGCCTGTTAAGCGATTGCAGTTGATCATCATGCCTGGTGAGGTGTTTGGCTCGGAATCGGGGCACAGCGGGAAGGTGCTGGCTTCTCTTTGTCCCTTCCTACCACGATACCGTGTTTTTTCAATCCCTTTTATTTTTTTTGCTTCCTTTTTCTCTCTTATTCGGTCCCTTCTTGTCCTGAATACTCGGTGTGAAGAAAAAGGGCTTTTGCCCACGAGAAATCTTCTTGGGGCCCCCGGAGAAATTGTGACAGGGGGGGGGGGGAGGAGGGGTGTGGGAAGGGAGGGGATCAAGTGGTGATCTACGACGAGAGACGCCGATGTGCAAAACGAGAAAAAAAAATAAAGAAATATGTTTACTTTTGCCGACGGTAGCGTACCACTCAGGTCCTTTGCTGTGAGACATGCATTCGTTCGATAGCTATTTGAGTTTATTGACGTGCAGCTTCACCATTGTCTGTGTGGTTGGTACTCGAGAAATGGAAGGGGGGGGGGAATGTATGGGAAAGGCACGCAAGAATAACACGCAGTAACACGCAACTAAATAACCGGGGGAAATGTGTGGATGGTTTTCCTCGATAATATGAGATGAACCAGTATTTAATCGTTCCTTACTGGCTACGGTACTCATTTCAGACCCAATACCGGTAGACTGTATCATATCCTGCCCGGAACCTCAACCGGCGGAGACGAAACGATACACCAGTCCCAAGTTAGGGTAAACACCCCTTGTTGCACTGGAAGAGACCTAACGATATGTAGTGATGCCATATGTTCGCCTTCAGTTCCGGGAGAGTGATAGTGCCGGCACAGGATCTAAAAGTAGCGGTCGACGAGGAGTTCACTTACAGCTCGCGGCAAGTTCATGTTCTCTATCTTCTCACGCTGTCTGACCACTTGTGCCTAGCTAACCAAAGACATAACACGGGCGTCTGTTCTCATGGAGATGCCGCATGCCATTGAAAATGGACTCCCCGCCGAGAGGGGTTGAATATCTGATGGCCAGGGCATGTGGTTCTGATTGACGTATGACACGAAATTCCGAGTGCAGGGCGAACGTTCGGTACAGTACTGTACCGTGAGGATGCAGCTATATGCTCTTGACACCGGTTGTCGCTGTGCTATGCGAGCTGTTCATGCATTTGAACGTGCTGTGCCCTACCTCACACAATAAGACTTTTGTCAGTGAGCTAGGAATTACTTTGCGCCTCACAGAGGCGGCTCAGCAATGATCGCTGTCAAGTGCTGACTGACTGACGGACTCGCCGGGTCGGGATTTGGAGGTCTGTTTTTTTTTTTTTGTTTTATTTTATTTAGCATTGCCGCCGCTGCCAGCGCTCACACTGCAACCCAGGCTGGGTCGGGAGCAGATAGCCTAACGGTGGATAATCTGTTTGCACTGTTTGAAAGTGAAAGAAAAGTCATAGAGCACGAGTGAGTAGGGTACTGCTCGAGTACCGTAGGGTACTTGTGCTGCAGCCCCGTGCAGGGGTCTGGCTTTATGCCGATTTTGATCCCCGTCCGTGTCGTCATGATCAGACATCTTGGGCTCCTTTGAAACGGTTAAGCGTTCAAGAGCCGACCTGGTGGAATGGACCGGAGCACGAGGACTCAGCGGGCGGATGATTTCCTCAGAGGGAGAGCTTCTGAGGGTCCGCCGCGGCGCAGGGCAGGAGGCTTGCCCAGCCACATGGTGGAGAGCGAGATTTCGATGACTGTGGCATCACACCCTTTAAATTATCGACGTCCCAATTGCTGCATTGGATACCGGTGCAGTACCGTAAGGGAGGACCAACGACGAGAGGGGGAGAGGGTGCGGTTCGTTTCAAAGTCGTGTGCTATGAACCTTATCTGGATTGAGCGGGCAATCCGTTCGATAGGGATTTTCAGCCCCCCTGTCCCAAGACTTCGCTGCAACATGAATTCGATCAAGCTGCCCAACTTGGACAGCCAGGCAGTCCAAAAGATCTCAGATATTGAGGGCAACAAGGATGGGGGGGGCTACTACCGATACAGTACCGGTAATGTTTTCTGTGAGCGCTGTGGTCTGTAAAGGTTACCGCACTCGACTGACTGTGGTTGAGACGGCTTGGTACATCCAAGGATGTGGTACCCTATTTCACTTTACGCACAGGGGTTTCACCACACCCATAACTGCATGGCCAATACCGTACAGCAATCCACCAAGCTTCAACTCCATCTCGAGAAGAAAAGATGGAGTTCGGCGGCCGAGCTGGGCGATGTCTTTGGTTTTCCATCTCCTCCACTTTGCTGCTTTAAAGCGAGCTTCGATTGCGAGCACGCTTAGCTCACGTTAACCCTTCCACGGCCGGCGATTGTGCTGTAGGATACGGTACAGCACAGTGGAAAAATGGGTTCCTGATTTGATGACGGAATTGAGGCTGGGTGGTTGCTCCTAAACCTTCGATTCATGATGGATGGGTACGCTAAAACGGGCGCGTGACACACCCAAACTCTGGCCGTCAACCGTCTCCCAAAAAGAGCGTCAGAAGATTAATATTAGGATGACGGGGCAATTGAACGAAAATTCCCTGTTCGGTGATCTCTCTGTTATGTATGGTCTGCAGTCTGCAGTCTCTTTTCTTTGCTTTGGGCTTTTCCTTTCCTTTCTTTTTTCTTTCTTTCCTTTTCCCTCTCCTTACGGTACAGTACCGTACTTACTGTTCTCTCTCTCTCCCTCTTTATGTAGACGCTTTTGGATGCTTTTGCTTGTCGTTCTAAAGCCTTGTCCCCCCTCCGTGATCCTTTCTTCACTTTCAATGTGGAAGTATGATATTCCCTATTTCCATATTTCCCTCTCTCTCTTTTTTTCGACACTCCTGTTCCCCGATCCCCTTTCCGGGCTTCTTGTTCGAAGAGAAAGTGCAGTGGGGTGCCAATACTCTGGACGAGTCAATCAGATCACTGGACCATCATAGCCCAATGCATCAATCGGGCATCCTTTTTGTATTTTGCCTCTTGGTAACCTTTTTTTTTCGCGTTTATCTCCTTAAAATTTCTCTCAGGTTTTTTGCAGCACCACACCTGAGTTTTATATTTTAGCCTCCTGGTTTCCCCTGCAAAAGCTTTTTTTTTTTTTTTTCTACTCTCTTTTCTTTTCTTTTTTTTTTCCCTTCCCTTTCTCACTGGATATTACTTTTGTAGATTTACACCAACGTTCGTGAGATTTTCTTCTTTGTCTATAATAAAAATAAATAAATAGAGAAACCCTTGCAGGCAGTCGAGTCCAAGTTCGCTCGGCAGGGAAGCTGACCCCTCTTGCTCTTCGCCGGCCCACCAATACGCCGCATCCACATCCGGCGCCCAAGAAGGAGCCAAAAACACTTTCTGAGAGACAGCTACAACAAAATCCGAGCGCCTCCCACCCCCTCGTTCACCCTCTCTCTTCTCGTCCGCTCCCACTACGATACGACGTCTATCTTAACTACTACACCTCCCCCCCCCTTCTTCCTCTCTTCTTAAATCGCTGCTATCGATCCATCAAGGGCGTCGTTCTTCCTTGCGGAAAAAAGACCCTTCCCATCAACCCTCAACCTTCCCCCCCCCCCCCCCCGAAAGCAGTCCAGTCAACAACCCCGCCAAACAGGATTGCTCCTCACCCCACCACGGACGACCATAGACCCCGTCACGAACATTGTTGACAAACTTCCACACTCTCTCTCGCTTGCACGTTCCTGTCGCTGCTGTCAACCCGAAGAAGATTCCATCCTTCGCTTTGCCCCATCTCGCTACTTGGACGTGCCGCGTAACCCTCGCCCTGGTCTTTAGGTTTCTTCCGTTTTTTTTCTTCTGAATATCTTCCCCGCGCCTTCTTCACGGTTTCAGGGTCCGTCTATCACCATCGTCATACAAACCTCCCCCCCCCCCCCCTAACAGAATAATATTTTCCAACCCACTTCCATTAAAGAGCCAGCACACTCCTTTGCGCCACTCTTTTCATACTATCTTCTGTGTCGAAAGCAAGGTTACGATTTATTGCCTCTCTCTTAACTGTAACGAGTTTCTTCACTCCATCATCCGCAATCGTCCCCTCTCCCTCCATTACGACTACCCGCAGTCCGCCCCCTAGATTTCAGGAGGTGTCCTTCTTCGTTTGTAAGGCTGGAGCTGCTGGGCGTCGCTGCTTGGTCCTGCACCGTTACACCTGCCGGAATACGCTCACATTAGCCAGCCCTGAGCCTATATTTTCTTCCCCGGTTCTTTCGGTACCCTATCTCCTTGCATAGCCCTCGCCTGTTTCACTCGTCATCATTTCGGATTTCCATCATCATCACGGCCACTCCCCCACTCAATATTCTTTCCCGCATTCAACCTCGTCATCCACGATAGCTTGCCCCTTTCCCGATAACGTTTGCCGTTAGTGGGCTTCTATAACAATGTCACAAAACAGACCCGCTGCCTTCTCTGGCCTGCGGATGGGAGGTATGCATTATTTGCCTTGTTTTTTTCTTTTGTCTCTGATTGCGATGCTGATATTTCGCTCCTAGAGATTATTCGGGAGAAGGTTCAGGATGGGTTGACCGGTGAGATTCGGGAGATGCAGTATACACAGTGCAAGATCGTAGGGAACGGCTCCTTTGGTGTAGTTTTTCAGACAAAATTATCACCCAACGGTGACGATGCTGCTATTAAGCGTGTATTACAGGATAAGCGTTTCAAGGTATGAATTTCGTTCCCCACAGGTTGCTGTTTGGGCCCTCGACTGATCCTCCCGTTCCCAAGAATCGTGAGCTCCAAATCATGCGTATCGTGCGGCACCCGAACATCGTGGAACTTAAAGCTTTCTACTACTCTAATGGAGAGAGGGTGAGTGCTGTCGGGTGATGGGTTTTTTTTGTTTTTTTTGCTCTTTTTCCACTAACAATCTGCAGAAGGATGAAGTTTACCTCAATCTTGTCTTGGAATTTGTTCCCGAGACTGTTTATAGGGCTTCTCGATATTTTAACAAATTGAAGACCACTATGCCGATATTGGAGGTCAAGCTTTATATTTACCAGCTATTTCGATCCCTTGCATACATCCATTCCCAGGGAATCTGCCATCGAGATATCAAGCCTCAGAACCTTCTTCTGGACCCCGCGTCCGGGGTTCTCAAGTTGTGCGATTTTGGTAGCGCTAAGATATTGGTTGAGAACGAGCCCAATGTCTCGTATATCTGCTCACGGTATTACCGTGCGCCCGAGCTTATCTTTGGCGCTACAAATTACACCCCCAAAATTGGTATGCTTCCTGAAATGATCCTGGGGAACAAATTCTCTGACCGATCCCATAGATGTCTGGTCAACGGGATGTGTTATGGCGGAACTTATGCTTGGGCAACCTTTATTCCCTGGAGAATCGGGTATTGACCAGCTAGTGGAGATCATTAAGGTTCTTGGAACCCCTACACGGGATCAGATCAGAACTATGAACCCCAATTACATGGAGCACAAGTTTCCCCAAATCAAACCGCACCCCTTCTCCAAGGTACGTGTCTTTTTATATATATACTTTCTCTTTTTTTAGGATTTCCCCACGAACAGAGCTCATTTTTCGTTGTGATATTAGGTATTCCGCAAAGCTTCTCCTGAAGCTATTGATCTGATATCGCGATTGCTTGAGTATACTCCCACTCAACGTCTCTCCGCGATCGAGGCCATGTGTCATCCATTCTTCGACGAGCTGCGTGACCCGAGCACTAAACTGCCAGATTCACGTGGCGGACAAGGCCTCCGGGATCTGCCCCGCCTGTTCGATTTCAGTAGACATGGTAGGTTTAATTCTTCCAGGTTCAGCTCGGGGGTGGTGTCTTTTTTTGTTTCGTTTTCCTTTCTACAAAAGACATGCTAATGACTGTATCCTATAGAACTCTCAATCATGCCTGAGCTTAACGAGCGGCTGGTACCGCATCATGCTCGCCCTGCGCTATTATCTCGAGGTATAGATCTGAATAACTTTGTCCCCATGTCCAAAGAGGAGATGATGGCAAAACTGGATTAAAAATTCCCTTCTATTAAATTCAAATTTCACCGTTTCCTTGCTCTCACCTTTTTTTTTTTTTTTTTTAGTTCTTCTCATTCATATGGCATGGCGACACCGGATGCAAGGGCACAGAGATTAGGTTTTTTTTTCTTTTTCTTTCGGAACGGCACATGGCGAATTGAGAAATCTCCATTCCCATTAGATGGATTTGCTGGCAAGGGAAGGAAGGAAGGAAGGGTCAGCGAGGCTTTGTGTTTGCTCGCGGATGTTGTCCTGATGGATCGACATGAGCGTGTGTCAGGTGGTGTGATGTTTACCCTTTTTTTTTTGTACACGGTTTCTCTTCTCTTATCAAGCAGGCTTTATGGCTCTTTAAAAACTATTTTGAAGGTTTCGCCCTGGGATCTTCGTTTTCAGAGCTGCTGGAAGGATGCATGTATGGCGAGGGGGTTGTCTTGGTGTTGAGAGGGTCTGTTGTCAAAAAAAAAAAAATGCAGCTATGCCTATGTGCACTGACAAAAATGAAACTCGGTTTCTTCCTTTGTTTTTTCTGTCTTTATTTTTATTCCTTTTCTCCGAAATGGGTCTGGGTTATCGGGTGGGGGAAACCATCAGGAAGCAACAAGTTCAGCAACATCCTTTCTCTCGATCATGAGGCATCAGGCCCATTTTAACATGCAGCTTTCATCTGAAGTATCAGCTACGGATTGTTTTAAATGAAATGATTTTTAGGCTCAGCGGTTGTTTGTCACTTCCCTCTCCTGTTGGCCAGTCTACTGCGCTTCAATCTGGGTTTCCCGTGTCACCATTTTTTTCTCGTTCATGGTATTTCATCTTGCTTCCGGGATTATCGTTTATTTACTACGAGGCGCTGCAAGATTACGAATCCCTTGTCTATGATAAACGGGCTTTAGCTATATTTCTTGTCTCACTGAGGCTTATCAATTTAACTCCATTGGGGATCGTTTTCAACCATATCAAATCGCTTCCCTGCTTCCCTTGTCTTTCCCTCGAACCATTTCGCGAGCCAGGAGGGAGGGACTGTGCCCCGAAGCCCTTGGGAGGTGGAGGATTGAAGACCATACTGTTGTGGTGTTTGCTTGCTTATATATATATTTACATCTATATATAATATGTGAACTTCAGCTCTGATGCCGCTTTTCTGAACCTTTCCCACTAACGAATCAGGGCCCCTAGATCTACCTTACGATCTTTGTACCCGCCCTTCCCCCCTCCCTTTCCCTTCTATCCACCTTCCTTCACACCGGTATTACGGGCCCAAATTGGTTTCGGAGCTTTTTTTTTGTCTGATACAGGTACCGGACCTGTGGAGTCCAGGTACTGATACCCGCCCCCCCCCCAATACTGTCACTATTTATCTACTGTATGTATATCATAATGCTCGTAATCTATCTAAATCTCATGTCTGTGGAACGTATCCTTCCCCCCCTCCCCCCTCCTAATCCGCCCTAATATCACATCACATTCAGCTAGTTTCTGAAAAAACCGATACATCCCGTTCCGCGAATCAGAAGGGTGAACTGCAGCGCTGTAATGATCATTCATTCATTCCTTTTTGCTTTCCTGCTTTCTTGTCCCCCCCCCCCCCCCCCCTTCCTCACAGTAGCTGCATGGGGTAAAGTGCGTAGGAGTAAACTATTTTTTATTCTATACTTTCCTTTTATAATTTTTTATTTTTTATTTTTTATTTTTTTCATGCCTTTGTTCGCCTGCTCATTCATTCATTGTGGATTTGATCACGCCGCCGTGCAGAATGGGTAGACTATGTACAGTACTGTATAATAGGTATGCGAGTGGTGTGTGTGTGTGTATGTGTGTGTGTGTATGCGTGTGCGTGTGCGTGGGTGCGTGTCGTCGGTAGGTGTGTGTGTCTGTGTGTGTGTGCGGGTTCTGCTGGATCATAGCTATAAGTCATTTCCGTTGCTTGTCACTACGGTACTGGAACCTGGTTGCTTCTTCTCTTCCTGCTGGTTGTGGTCACACTTCCGCCTCTACATTACCATATTTCTCTCTCTCATTGTCACGTATCTGTTGGCCCAGCGCTTGGAGAGATGTTACCGCTGAACCTCACCCGGTGGGGGGTTGGAGGCTAGTTGGCATCTCCTGGTGGTAGACTATCACTTTCAGGAGCGATACGTACCATATCATACGAGCGCAAGAAAGGTACCGTACGAGTATGACACCGTCCTGTATTGTATATTAGTACGAATATTATACCAGGGACTGATGGGGGAGGGGTATGGTATGGTATTGTAGCCTACTTGATTGCCTACTTGTCACAGTAAGGCTACGGTAGCACCGGCATCATCACATCATGGGTTCTGTCCAGGAAGGGTGGATAATAAATATCACGACAGGGCGTGATATGATAGGTACCGTACCTGTGCTAGTACAGTACAGTACAGTACAGTACAATACGAGTACGGTATCACACAGCACGGCACCATACCGGCATTACCGTACCGCATCGTATCATACTCGTATGAACCTCTCTGCAGCCGGAAACCCGGGTATCATAATACATAAATCAGCCCAATCTAACCAACCTACGTACCCGTATGATATGTATGACACCAATCTACATACGCCTTCCGTCCCTCCATCCATCCATCCATCCATCAATCAATCAATCACGGTTCTCTGAGCCCTGAACCCTAAGTTAAACACAACATAACATGTAGGCATTTATGATAACATCCTTTATTGTATCATAATATCATAATACCATACATAACATCATGATAATAAAGAAATAAACCCAGCTTTCCAGGTAAACTTGAAAATGTTACGAGTAGAGTAGAGTAGAATAGAGTAGAGTACCGTAGAGTAGAAGTATGGTAGGGCAGGGATACGTTGGACAATCTTCCTATCATAATATCATGCAGTGCGATACGACAGCTTGCTTGGTATTGTAGGAGCTTGGCTCGGCTTGGCTTGACGGGGATTGTCTCCCCCGTCCCTCAACGGCGCGCCACAATGCGGTACGGCGGTATGCGAGCGTCGTCGTGGTTTTATGGGCATATCGCTCGAAGATAGTAAGACACCCAGGATTTCCCTGTGGAAGAGGGGGCGGGGCTTTTGAATTTGTGATGATTGCTTGGTGGCGAGATGGTACAAGAGCGTTACTCATGCAAGACCGTACGGTAAGTACTCGTATAGTATAGTACAGTACTGATACAATACAAGTACGGTGCTAGGTACCGGTACTGATTCATTGATTGGTGTACCGCCACGTTAAAGAAGAAAAGAAAAAAAAACTCGTTTGTGAGTGGTGTCAATGATTCGCTCGCTCGCTTGCTCGTTGGAGATTTAGACTACTCGTACTGCATGTCCTTGTTGCCCTACTGGAGCTCGTTCGGGATCATTCACCAGTAGGGTAGGGTAGGTTATTCACGTGTAGCGTCGGGGAGCCAAGTGATTTATCGGAGATTCAATTGTTAGCGGTAGGGTACAGTACAGTGCTGTACAGTACGGATTGTCCCGTTGTCAGGATGGGTGGTATAATAAGTTATGCGAGTACGATATTATGTTTATTGTAAATCCTATCCTACTGTTGTAGTATTGTACCTCCTCCTTCACTTCCACTACCCCCCCCCCCCCCCCACCCGCCCAAACAAACTTGGGATACGTTAAAACCTCTTGGATAATCATTTCTCCGTGGTTTCGGTGTTATGCACGGCACGCTTATCATCCATTCATTACGCAAACATTGGGGAATATAAATTTATCAATTGAAACAATTGAAAGTTTCAGACAGAATAGATCCAGTCAGTTGACTTGGTTGCGTATATAAGACAAGACCAGACCCGGTGCACCGGTATACCTCTTATTATGTGAGTTCCATGGGATCACGTAACGGTAGGAGAAGCTGGAACATACCGGGAGGGAGGAGAGAGCGAGTGAGTCAGTGAGTAACGGAGCTGCAGGATACGTTTGGTGGGTAGTCACGGCTATTTACAATAATACGTGTTCACAATGGGGGAGTGGGAGAAGGGAGGGATTGGGGAGATTAATTATCTCCCCCTTCCCCATGTCCGCCTGTGCTTACCGGTAACCCAACCCTCATGCCATATTGGAGGGCATGCCAGGGGGATCCTCAAAATATGTTTTAAAAAGGGCCTCTGCGAAGGGGAAGAAAAAAGAAAAAGAAAAGAAAGGTCAATAAAGTTACAACGCAGGCCGTCATACCCCTCCTCCCCGGCCCACATGGAAATGCGGTTTTGTTTCGCCGTATTGGGGATCTCGATCTCGATCTCGGTACATATCTTGAGCAACCCAGGATCAGGGGACCTGATAGTAGCGGCGAGGTTATCTGGTTGGCGAATTTATTTATTTTCCCTTTTAAAAAAGGCTCAACGGATTGACCGCTGTTGAAGTCCTGCAGGATGAGTTCATGCCCGTCTGGTTGATCAGGGAGAGGCGCCAATGCCTGAGCACATAAAGCTGATGATAAAACAGACCATTCCTATAGTGGTGGCTGCTTGTGCCGATAAGTTCGTGCTGCTGCTGCTGCTGCTGGGTATATGTAACTTATTCGGAATGTACGCCCGTGGTTCCAACGGCCTTGTGTGGTGCGGATGTATGGTTAGCCCTCTCCGTCTAGGCCCCCATTAGACAGTATGTTGTGTGGAGGATTTCTTGCAGCCAGAGTTTCGCTAACCCCCTTGTCGTTTTTGGCTCAATTGCTGTGGCCTGATGCAGTACATGGGCCAGTGCTCGTACTTTTACTGCATGAGCACAGCACCATGGTTCATTTTGGCACACCCGAAGAAGAAAAAAATCACCTCGTGACCCCCCGAAAACCTAGGCAATTCCTAGCATTGCTATGCACTAGTGGTACATATACCGGCGTGAGAAATGTTGTGAATTAGGAAAGCATTTAGTTTATCCCAGCCTCAGATGCAAGAGCTGTTACTTGGCATTGGCCTAGGCTTGATCCCAATTCAACCACCATGGAGTGTAGAGACAAACAGTATTGTGTCGTCATCCTGGACTAAATACTCCTCTTCCCCTTCCAATTCCCAGTCGACATCATTGATCAGGACCAATATACCGGGGCGGCTTTCGCGAGCAATGTTAGCTTGTGTAGATGCGTACGGTAATTGTCACAACAACACTGCCGGAAGGAACCCCACATCCTGTCCTCCAAAACGAAGAGTTCCTTTCTCTTATCCTTCATTAGGTTCTCGCATAGGTAGCGTACTAGAAACCCCAGGTTCGCTGGCTGCTCAGAGTCGTCTTTTGCCGGTATTTGTATACGGTGAGACCGCTGGCTAGAGAATAGCGTCTCAAGGCCACCTCTAAAGAAGAACCGTCCATGGTCAGTGATCCATCCAGCCTCCGGAGGTCATATGCATTTCTAGTGCTCACGAAAATTCAACATCAAGAGTGACCGGTTTAGAATGGACCCCATTTGGGGAGGAGTCATGTTGTTCGCCCATATTGGTTTGTCGCGTGCGGTGGATATGTGATTGTCAGCGGTATCGGGTATCGCAATTATCAATCTGGAGGGGCGTTTGCGGTTGCGTGCTCCAGGTCGGCGCGACTTCTGGAAAGACACACACGCCCTCTTGCCCAGGGCTTAGTCATCCGGAAACCGTGCCAAGCAATTAAAGGTTCTCCGAAGCGCGGTCCAAACATGGCTTAGGAAGGAGCTTGCCCCAGAAAACACCAACGCTCCCCTGCCATCTCACCTCGACCACGAAGAAAAGTGCTGCAAAGGATAACGGGATATTATCAACGAATAATGGGCGATTACTACCGTGGAAGAGAAGAAGGTCGCGGAGGAGGCAAGGGAGGTGGAGGAGGGGGGAGACGTTCTCAGAAGAGACGTCACAGAGGTTGGTTACTCCGTAGCTGCACACTCACCCGGACACCAACAGATGCTAATGCATCCATAAAGAGGACGACGACGAAGATAAAGAATATCGACGCTCGCGTCCGTATGAGAGGGAGGATCTGGCCTCTAGATTGAGAAGGGACACCATTTCAATCGCAGAATCGGTTTGTCTTCTGACCATAATTTCTGTCCCGATTGCTGACCAGATCCTTAGCCTCTGACCAAAATTGAAGACACCATCAACCTCATCGCAAATACTTTCGCCTCAAATTACGATAACGAGGAGCTCCGTAACACTTTCCTCAATACCCTGCTCTCTCTGTATGTCTCCTTGGGCCGGTAGCTTGGGAATTGTTATTCTGCTGACGCGTTACAGGGTTGTTGAGCAACCCTTCAAGATTCCTTTCCTCGCGGCCGCTGTTCTTGTCATCAATTCGCAGAATCCCGAAGCCGGGAAGTTGATCCTCGATGAATTTGGAAAGGCTGCACAGGCATATCTTACTGAGGGATTCCTCACCAGTGCAAAGCTTGTATTGCGCTTCCTCGCCGGGCTTCAGGGGATGGTGGAAGGCGATGGATTGTACCTTGTGCTGGGCAGTATAGTGGATCAGGCTGCTGGTTATCTTGTTGTGGAAGAAGTGGTTAGTTGCTCGCCTCTCTCCCTGCCTTCCTCCCTCCCTTCACTACATTTCTAACTCTGAATAGGGACTGGCCTTGGATTTGGTGTGGATTGCATTAATAACGGTTCCATACATTCTTGCCTCGCCAAAATCCGACAGTAGCTTTGCCAGCGAGCTTCTGAAAAAGACAAGCTCTATCACTGAGGTCAAGCACAGGATGCAGTCACTGCTAAGTCCATTTACGGGAGGATATGCTCCTTACGACGCAAGAGCCCAAGGAACTCATGTGAGCTATAACTATGCGCCTTCTCTCACCACAAGCTGATATTTGACAGAATGCCCGGATACTTCAATTGTCTCTGGAATCATACTTGGGAAGTGAGCCAAGTAAACCCTTCCATGGTGTAGGCTGTCTGCCGAGGCCATACGAATCTTTTCTCCCGGAGCTTGAAGGGGCCACCAAGCACCCCATGCCCGAAATCACGTTGCCCTCAGATTACCCAGTCGACAAGAGTTCTATCATGCCCAATGTCTACTTCTCTGTGTTTGCAGACCCAAATGTTGAGGTGCGCGCCTTCCAGGTTTGACCGGGGCTGATCATGACTAATAATTAGAAGACTGTTCCCCCGCCCCTAGAGCTTGCTTCGACGCTGTTCCGTGATGCGATTGTTGACACGATAGATACGCTAGACTGTAATCGTCTTGTGGTATCCCGGTTTTTGATCGAAATTGATTGCTACTTTTCACCTAATGCCTTTATAAAACGGGCTGTTCCCTTCGACAGAGTTATCGAGACGGCTGGCCCCGAGGGATCTACATGGAAACCGGAGGATGTAGCTGTGGATGCCATCTTCAGCCAACTTTACAAGCTCCCTGGGCCAAATCACAAGTTGGTTTATTATCACTCTATCCTTACAGAACTCTGTAAGCTCGCACCCGCAGCCGTGGCACCCTCTTTGGGCAGAGCGATTAGGTTCATGTATAAGAACCTTGAGTCCATGGACACTGAACTAATCTACCGGTTTGTTGACTGGTTCTCTCATCATCTTAGCAACTTTGGATTCACCTGGAAATGGGCTGAGTGGTTTGTATTCGACTGAGTTACGCTTCGGAACCTACCATAACTAATTAGGATCTTAGGAATGAGAACCTCACTTTGCCAGATGTCCATCCCAAGAAAGCATTCATTCTTGGGGCACTTGAAAAGGAAATCCGACTTAGTTTTGCTACTCGAATTAAGGGCACAATTCCAGATCCATATAAGGAGCTTATCTCAGAAGCTAAGGAGAAAGAACAGCCGCACTTCAAGTATGATTCTGAAGGTATAAGTCATCTCTAACCACCCCGTATCTAGTTGGCAGATGCTATAGGCGGTTTACTGACAGTCCCCCAGACGAGCCATTCTGCAATGAGGCCAAAGAAGTCCTCCACGCAGTAGCAGACAAGAAGGAAGATGCAGAAGTTGATGCCATCCTTGCCAAAATTGTCGAACTAGCCAAGGAGAGCGGTGTTGCAGACCCTCTATTTGTCGCACGTGATGCATATGTTACCGCGATCTGCCATATCGGTGCAAAATCGCTATCCCACGTATTGAGTTGTATCGAGCGCTGCAAGGAAAAGCTCCTGGCCATAGGGAACGAGTCCCTAGATGCCAGGCGTCAGATTGTCGGCTCAGTGCTAAGCTATTGGGAAGACCAGCCAGGTATTGGCGCAAATGTGGTCGACAAGCTCCTTAATTACTCCATTGTAACTCCCTTGTCAGTTGTCGAGTGGGTTCTCCACGACGCTGGGAATAAGGCCCTATCACACACCCATGCCTGGGAAATGGTCTCGACCACAATAAACAAGGTCAATACCAGAGTCCGACAGATGGTCGCGGCAAGGCAAGTGATGTCTATCAACGATTACACAGAGGAGCAGCTAGCTGTCTACGCTCAGACCCTGAATGCCGCAGAAATCGAGCAGGGCGTGCTCCTGAGTGCTGTTACGGACGCCCTGACGGCCATGTCCGACAGCTCGGATGAGATGAATGGTGGCATAGACGTCGAGAGCAAGGCTTGGATGCAGTGGTGGGCCAAGGGCTGGCTGCGAGCATTCAGCAGGAAGTTTGGCGTTGCGGAAGGGACGGTAGTAGAACAGCCGGTTGCCGATGGCGGACCCTCCACCAGGCTGGATCCGGACGACATGGATACCATGTGATTCCAAACGGGGAGGGTCCCTTGGCTTGACGGGTGTATTGGTTTCTGTATGATATGCTGGCGGTACCATTCGAGTCTTTTGTAATCGCAGGCCCCGGTGAAATCTGCTTGGGTCATTCATTGGTGATAAAGTTTGAATTTGTTTTACCAGTCATCTTTTTTCTTCCTTCCGAAGAAAACTCAAAATCAAAAATCAAAATTACACGAGTGATTGCTTGTGGCTGCTCTAGAGATATAATTTATTTATTTCATCCGTTGGCTTGACCGCATGGCTGGTGAATCCGAGGCACCTATTATTATTGATACACGCTGAATTACTAAGAAAAGCGTGTTACTGTGTCGTGTAATCATAAAACGATGCTTGAGAGGAAAATGAGGAAACGAAAGTTGTCACAAAGAACTAGGTATGCACCACTGTCTAGGGCCTCCGTCTCTGGCCATCAGCAATTCCCCCAGAGAGATCAACGTCATCCGCCCCCTCGCCGGGCCTCGATTGCTCCCTCGTCGTCCGCTTTCTGGGCCATAGCGAGGGCAGGACGATCTGCTGAAACTTGGGCTCCACACACCTCTCGTCAATCCAACTATGCAAACGGCCCTCGACAAGCTGAGCTATCTTCGGAACATCCTGCAACCTAGATCTAGACCCCACAAGACTGCTCACGGCAATCTCAAGCCTATAATCATCCAGAAAACTAAACGCAAGTGTAGTGCTCCCAGCCAAATTCTCCGGCGAAGGAATGAACGAAATCGACAACGTTCCCGAAAACCGAACAATCGAGACGGCCAGAGCAACCGGCAACACCGCAACCAAAGGCTTTGGCCAGTTCAACAGTAGCTTCGTTTCGACTCCTAGAGTGATCAAATCGCTGAGATCGACGTCCATCCTCGCCTGTAGCTTCCCGGGTTCATCATCACTCGGCGAGATCCTGCAATTGGAAAAGATGGGAAAGTCCTCGCCGAGCGAGACCTCCGTCACCCGGATCGAGTCCAGGAAGTCTGGCTTCTGCGGGGCGTTCAGGAGGTTATCCAGTGACTTCAGGATCGCGTCATCGGTGCGAGCGTCCTCGCGGAACTGTGCTAGCGTCTGGGCGATGAGCACGTTGAACCAGTCAAGGGATTCGGGCTGGTGGGAGCGGACATCGTAGTACGTCTTTGATAGGATTGTCTCGGTGGATTGCGACGGGGGGTCGCGGAGGACCGAGGAGCGCTTTTTTCGCAGATGGGATTGGCTCCGGGAGTACTTTTGGGGGGCGGGAGGCTTTGCGTAGATGCTCTTCGAAGTGGAGTCGGGCGAATCACCGAATATGAAGAATTTTATAAAGCAGCCGAGGGTTAGGATTACGAACAGTTGGCCCAAGAGGAGGCCTTGAATGAAGGACCAGCTTTTTGGGAGACGATTGTTAGCCCAGATTCAGGCGTTGAAGGTCGATAAGAGCTGGGTATCGTGGAGAGAGGAGGAGGTACCTAGAACATTGCTTCGTTGTCAGAGCAAGGTATTCCGATAACGGAAGCTGTATGTGGCCTCCTGATAGCAAACATTGTTAGCGATCTGTCTATTCGCGCTTGCACTCCATATCGGGGGGAAGGAGAGAAAAGAAGGAAAGGGAAGAAAGAGGGAGAAGAAAGGGGGAGCTTGTACCCTGCTGCATGTGTCTGGTTGTGTGGTGAGATGGCTCTGGAGAACAAGGGGTACAAACCAGAAAACGGGAATGGAGGGGGGGAATGACGGATGAATTGGCAGGCGAGCTGCGGGGGTTGGGTTCTGACGGGCGCCGGAAGAAATGCGAAACCCGGAGGGCAACCGTTTCATTGAGCCGCAGTATCAGATATACCGGTACCAAGCGAAGGCGTATCACGATGCCAATAGTATGATACGGGATACTCAGTTGTCCTTTGTGCACTTCACAATGCCTAACTTACCGCTATGTCCTTTATACGTACCGTATGGAGATCGCATGAGGTCTGCCACGGCCCCGATACCCCTATCAGAAGCCCCATAGCAGCTAAATTTATGTTGCAGGCCAGAAAGTACTCGTAGTTGGTCGCAAACCGCCATTCCTATGCGGCGATATCACCTCTGCCACCATCATCATCAGTCACACCAAAAAAGTAGCGCCAAGCAGGATTAGTCACCAAGAAATTTAGCTCTATGATACAAGTATTTTTTGTTTGTTTCCATCTTTTTTCCCTATCGCAACACTCGTCATCATCACCGCACCTCAATCAAAAAAAAACCCCAATCGAGCCTCAGAGCAGGCTCTGTTTCCCGTTAGCATCACACCCCCAGCCCCATCGCCTCCCCACCACCTCCCATCCAAACCCCCCCCCAATTCACCAGACTGTCCACTTCCCATCTGGAATCATCTCGGTTTCCCACTCTCCAATTCTGTATTCACCACGCTCTCCCGCTCCACCTGCTGACAATAATGGACGATAGTCAAACAAGCAAGACCCGCCCTCATCGGTCGATTCACCACATCATGCAACTTTCTGAGGAGTCCAAGGTACGAGGTTTTTTTTTTTCCCTCCTATCCCCCCTATCATCCGCCCTAGTTCCCATATGCGGGAAAAGCAAAGTTAGCCATCTGATTCGATTGTAATAGGAACGAATCTCCAAAGTCCTCGAAATCTCTCGAGTGGCATTGCATTAGTTCGTCTTTTCCCTCCCCTTCACCGTACTGCTACGGCAGCATTTTTGAGAGTCGGATTGTTGCTTATATTCGATTTTTTGCGCGATAGTGGTTACCTGCCGTTTGTGCTCTACCTTGGTATCACTACCCGTCCGCTGGCTTGATGTGGAATAAACGACGCCAATCGATTTCGTGACTGCCTAGGAACCGGGATCGCTGACTCTGGACTTTGTGTTTGGGCATATAGGTTATTCATGCAGCACGCCGAAACCTTCTTTGATCCGGTAAGCGTCTCTGTTTTCCGGCGGATACCGTGATGGTTGCGGAAACAACGGGTGCTGATGCGCTGGGTCACTCAGCTTGATATCTCCTCTGGCGGCGTAACAGGGTGCGATACTAGGAACGGATGGTGGGAGCCAGCAATCATGAGGGTGGGCATGTTGAGGGTATTAAACTGACGCCGGGTTTTGCGCTGTACTACAGTAATGATTGAATCTGCCAGTTATTATAGAAATTCACCCCAACTTTTACCCCACTTTTCTTGGATACAGTGGCCACTATGACGATAAAAGGGATTCCCCTGTGTCCCACCGTATTGTGATTACTGGTAAGGTCCATATTACCCGTACGAGTACTGGTAGATAGATGGCATTTTTCTATTTTACTTTTTATATCATTATTTTTTGGTTCCGCTCGAAAAGCAAACCACCAGGGTCAGACACGGCAAGACATAGTACTTGTACAGAGTGTACGAGTACGGGTAAAGTACACAAAGTACGGTACAGAATCAACATGACATATGTTGCAGCATTACCGTAATACCGCTATACTGGATACATCTTGTACCAAGGGAGTTAACAATACCAGTGCTTCTTTCACGATGTGCGAGCACAGTAGCATTGATTATTAGTATTATTATCATTATTTTCCCCGTCCTGTTTTGTTCTCCTTTCCATCTTAGTGCTCTCCCACTACCGAGGGGATGTCCCTTACACATCCCACGTGTGAGGCTCAAAACTAAAAAAAAACTAAAAAAAACAACAACAACAATCAGCAAGCAAACAATTCGTTCATCAGAGAATAGGATCCCCCACCCCCTCTTTATTTCTACTTCGCCCTTCCCCCCCCCTACCTGTACTCTCTTCCCCTCCCTCGCTATCTTACCATTCTTCATGAAGGAACCCCAGGATGGGATGCCCTCCGCTCTGGTGGAGACAATCGCCGGTTTCACAGCCGGGTTCCTATCGACGCTCATCGCTCATCCATTAGATCTCGTCAAAGTTAGATTGCAAGGTAAGTGTTATTGCTGTCGCAACTACTACTCCCCCCTTTCCACCCTCTTCCCCGTTGCAGCATTTCATCAAACGCTCAAACTGGCCCGTTCTAATTGATGGAACCTCTCGGAACAGTCGACAGGGAAAACAGAAGGCCAAAGCTTGGAGCAACCTGGAGGATAGCTCGTAATGTTGTTGCAAACGAGGGGAGGGGCGCGCTTTATCGGGGCCTCTCACCAAACCTGGTGGGTAACATGACGAGCTGGGGCTTGTTTTTCATGCTGTATGTCTCGTCTTGCCACAGGGTCTTGTCACTGGTGCGAAATCAAATATACACATCTTTCTTCACAACCGATGACCTTGTTGTCTTTTTTCTTTTTTTTTTTTTTTCTTCTCGCTCACTTCCTTTCTATTTTTGAAAGTTTGGTTCCTGATTGTGACACAAATGCGGCCGGGTGATGTGGTGAGCGATAAAGGTATGGCGAGATCAAGTCGGAAGTAACGAATCATAAACCAGGAGGCCTGTCCTCAATCGATTACCTACTATCTTCCGGGAGTGCCGGTGTCCTCACAGCAATTTGCACGAATCCACTCTGGGTGGTCAAGACGCGGATGCTCTCTTCGGGTCAGTCGGTTCCTGGGGCTTACTTGGGTCTGACAGACGGCTTACGGACCATCGTACGCGATGAGGGTGCACGAGGATTATTCCGTGGTTTGGCGCCTGCGCTCTTCGGAGTTGGCCAGGGAGCACTGCAGTTCATGTTCTACGAGGAGCTGAAGTTGTGGAGGAGGGGCCTTCGTGAGCGCAATAACAGCGTTGGTGACGGAGGTGGAGACGAAAGTAGCGAGAAGGTTGGAGGAAGACTGAGTAACATTGACTTTCTGACCTTGTCGGCCGCATCAAAGATACTTTCAGGGTCAATAATATATCCCTACAGGGTTGTGCAGACCAGGATGCAGACATATGATGTCGATGCTGTATACTCATCCGCTCGGGACGCCGTGGTGAAGATTTGGAGGAGGGAGGGGCTCACCGGCTTTTACAAAGGGTATGTTTCTCATTGTCTCTTATGCCACTATATCCCGATTGCATTCCCAACCGCTCGAATGGCATATTTGGAGTACTTGGGCTCGTACCCCAATCTGCATGGGAACAGAATGTCTGACAAGGAGCATCCCTGGAGCTATCTGGATCCCTAATGTCTCTGTTGCTTTTTTTCTTGCTTGTTTTTTTTTCTTCTTCTTCTCATCACATCAAGCCTCATTCACGCCCCCGCCCTAAATCGAACGAAACCCGGTCAAGGACCTTGACGTTCCAAAGGGGTTGGGAAAAAAGCAATCTTTTGTTTTGCAGTGTGCAATAGCACATTCCCATGTCCCGGTTTGACCAGAGACTCGAATAAACTTGACGCGTTTTTCAAGTGAGCTCCTTTTGACTAAAATATCTTGTTCTTTTTACTCTGTTAGGTTGGCGCCGAACCTAGCGCGGGTATTGCCGTCCACTTGCATCACCTTCCTCGTGTATGAGAATACCCGGTATTACCTCCAATGAGGTGAGACAAGCAGCAGCAAAAAGAAAGCAAAAAGGGTCGCCCGCCTTGTGCGTTCTTGTCCTGGAGTAACGCGTACGGTAGTGCGCACGCAGTGCCGTAGAAGCAACAGGCAAAAAATGGGAAAGAAGAAAAAGAAAGAAAAAAAAAACATATCTCGGCCAGGGCTGGAGTGGACTGGACTGGATGATGGGGAAGAGTGGCATGGTTTGAGTTTATGTAACCACAGACGTGTTACCTTGCTGGGACGCTGAAGATCACCCTCACTCACGGGGGAAGCCGGGAAGGGGCGTGGAGTGTGAAGTGAAGGATGGATGATAGTGGGGCCATTCGAGGAGGGGGTTGGAGCTGAGGTGAAAGGGTTCCTACGATACCATAGAATCTCAAATAATTGAACCGTGTGCAATGTCGTCCCAGTTGCCTCCTCTGGTAAGGTCTGGTATTTTTCTTATTTCCTTTCTCCGGCTTTTCAGAGCGGCTGAACAACTCACATTTTTGCTGCCCCTCTCCACCCCTCTCTCTCCAGGGAGGAAATTTTAGGTTACCGGCACCAGTACCTAGCCCATGCCACAGGGTCCAGTTTTTCTTTGTGATTCCACGGTATGGCGGTTCGGCTGGGCGAAATACCCAGCACTAGCGTATTTTAGCTAGCCTTGGGGGGGGGGGGGGGGGGTAATCAGAGACCAAATAAAACAAAATAAATAATCCCGACGAAAAAGTGGATATTATCGCTTCCCCAACGGGCGCCAGTTTGCCAATTCCTCAACTTTCCGGTGGGTACGAGTACTCGAGTAAGGTGGCCCGTAAAGTGATTTTGAGCCAAAAGGAGGAAAGTGGGTTGTGGGAAAAAACAAATTTGATCAGTCAACCAATCAGAGCCAGATCAAATGAGGGTACTGTACTGTGTGGTACTGTACTGTGTGGTACAGTAGATCATCAGAGTTAAAATCTGTGATCCAGGTGAATGTATGGGTGCATACAAGTACTCGAGTACTTGTACAGGTACCAGGTACGAGCGGGTGAGCAGAGGTCGTGCAGCAGGTTGTTTATTTCTCCACCGGCTCTATCTGTACCGGTAGTTGGAGGGGGAACAGTGCAATCGTACCTTGCCATACGTACATTCCATCACGAGACCGGTGGCCCGAATTATGGTCCACCTCCTCCTTCCTTCTCCTGCTTTACTCGTCGCGACCCCAATACTCGAAAACCTTGACGGAATTTCTTCTCCTCTAACGGACGGATATATCATTCCCCTGCATGCCCATGATATGGCCTAGTCTAGGGTACTGTACGTGTACTAGTACTGTACGAGTGCGGTCTGGACCTCATTTCCACCCCCTCCAAAATCACGTTCAAGGGCTAAACCAAGGGTACCCGAGTATGATGATATTATGATACAGTACGGTACAAGTACAACCTCGCCTCCTCCGTCCGTCCCAAGGGCAGGACGGGCAAGATCTCTTTTTGATGCCGGAATTGAAGTCACCTTTCGCTTATTTAGAGTAGAGTAGGGGGTATTTTTTCCTTTTTTTTTTTTTTTTTTTTTTCTTTTCCTTTTCCTTTTCCTTTTCCCCCTTCCTAAAAAAAAAATTAAAAATTTAAGCATTACTGTAGGTACCGTACCGTATCGTAGCGGTTTATCTTATCCGTCATGTCCTGCCTGCTTACCCACCCACCCAGCCCTGCCCTGTCCCTTCAGGTTCAGGTTCCACAAGTATCTATCAGTCTGGTCCGTCAATGGGTCGGTATCAATTGTACCGTTATTACCGCATATGGATCATCACGGTATTAGGGCCATCCATCTAATCGGTCGATCTACCAATCAGCCTGCACCCACCCCCCTTCACGTGCAGCAGGCGAGCTGTATCGTACTGTACTAGTACTGTAGCAGCCTGGCATGGCATGGCATGGCATGGCATGGCGTAGCCTTACATAGCATAGCATAGCATTCGCATCGCAAACCGTGCGAGCCAGAGTATCGTATTCTGACTTCCACCGTACGAGTTAAACGAGTACAATACCTTCTCCCTCCATGGCATCATATCACATCACATTAAATTACCCGTACAAGTACAGTATCATACCGGTACGGTACCAGTACTCCCTACAAGGCCCGATAACTAACTGCAAAAAAACCCCCCCCCTTTTTTTTTTAAACCGGCCAACTTGGCCCCCTTATTCGCGCATCCTCTACCGTACGGTACTCGTACAGTACTGCACCCAGCATCATCAATATACCTCACTTACTGCCTACCCTAACCATCCAATTTGGAGCAACGAGCGAGCGTGACCGGTAGACGGATATCGAATTCGTAATCATGGTCACATGGGAACGTAATAGCGTACTTTTATACTTGTAGTTACGAAGCGCGCCTGGCCCGGTCTACCGGGGGAGGGGGGGAGGGGGGGGAAACCGGCACTGCCCGAACGAGTATGATACTAGTATTGTCGGGAATGGCGGAGGGTTATGATTGGTGACCCGGTGTTTGGAGTGGATTAGCGTATGTAGGTCCGTTTGGAGAGGAAGAGAGAGAGAGAGAGAGAGAGAGAGAGAGAGAGAGAGAGAGAGAGAG